TATATATATATATATATATATATATATATATATAAAAACATTTTTTCAGATTTTACTTTCTGTCTGCATATTTTCCTGGAACTGTTTGCGACCCAACTATGGATAAGCGGTAGAAGATGGATGGATAGATGTTTTTGTTTGTTTGTTTTTTTTAATGTGCAAGCATGTTGTAAGACCATAACTCTCAAGTAGAGCAATATACCATTCACATTTGTAATGTGTGTATATTCAGGTTATGAATTAATAGGACATGCATGAACATGAACTTTGTATTTAATACCTCTTAGCCATTGGAAAGTATCTGGAGCATTCAGTGCCATCCCATGCACAGTATGGGTCCCTTGCCAGGCAGCACTCAGCACAAGCCTTCCCATAAACTTCACATCGATGTAGAGGCATCTGAGACACACCGATATCTGACCCAAGATAAAGTTGTTGCTTGGAAGAGAAAAATAACAGGTAGAACATTTTACATTTATCCAAGTTTAATTGAAACAGATTACATGTCAGTTTTGGTATCCTGTGTATTTAACAAAACTATGTTTGGCACAGACCTCAGAAATTTTGACAAAGCACTCAAAAACAGGCACTTGGCCCCTCCTACCTATCAATTAGCTTGCTTATTTTTGAATCCCCGTCATTTAAGATGACAAGCTAACTGTCACAGGAAAGCCAGCAATTAAGATCATTGAGTGATGACAATGCAGCTTATCTCAAAGTGCTTAAATCATGTCCACAAAAGTGTCTTTGTTCTGTCTCTCTCTGCCTTTAAGCTAGGTGTGTCACTTCCAGCAGAACACTTTTTCAGACAGGTTTTCCAGAGACACGTTATGTATAAACAACAGTCAAATTTTATTCTGGAAACACTGTTGACTTTAGTTTTGTTACAATTGCCAGAATAAATAAAGCGGGATAACAAAACTTTCATCAATAAATGGTAAAGGAAAAATACCTGTTTGGTTGACAGTTCCATGGCTTTAATGGCCACTGGTTCCTGAAAAGTTGAAAAATCATTCAAGTAATTAATCAGGGTTTGCTGATTTTGGAGATCACAAAGAATTAATACTAGTATCACAAGGACAAACTTACTCTGAAGACAGTCATTTCTTCTAACAGAACTTCCTCTAAGTCATGCCAGGAGCCTCTGGGGATCGATACAACTTTCAGAATAGTTCCCATGTCTATAAACAAAGAAAAGTACATTTTTATACTGCTGTATGTACTACTAATATATTAATATGCTCAGTGATTTGATTTGCAGTATAGTATTGTTACATATGCATCTACCTGTGCCTATGAACATAACATCGTATAGGCCATCTTCAGCCTCTACTTTGTCAACAACTATTTGGGTGAACTGGTAGTCCACGTCTGTTTTGACTATGATTGGTCGATTGTTAATTGGATAGACAGGGTTGAACATGGCTGGATGACTTCTGGCAAATGTGACAACTTCATCAGGAAGGTCCTTGGTTGTGTCAAAGCCACCAAATGTCTTGCTAGGGCACTGTAAGGGAAAAAAATCAAGTGATTTTATTAATTTAACAAGATGAAACAGCAGAAACTTTAAATAATAGTTCATAAAGACTGTACTCACTGTGCCAGGTCGGGGGTAGGGGACACGCCCCTGGAAGGACACCCACTGGTAGTTGGGTCCATCTCTATGGGCGTATGGACCCAGGAAGGCTCTCCTAATGTCTGTCATGCTGTACATACACACTGCTGAACCTTTAAAAATGTTGCTGGGGAAGAAAATGTGAGTCAGAAAATTACAATTCACAATCAAAATGCAAGCTAAAAATAAATGATAGAAAAAAAAGACTAACTTGTCTCACAATACCTGGAAGTGGTAAACACTCCATAGATGATTGGGCTCTTGGGATCCTTTGTGCTCACGAGAAAAACATCCTCTGGAAGCCAAACAGAAGAGTCAATGTATTTGAATCCTTTTGCCATAAAACAATAGCATTTTATATTTCTGAGACATTATGAGAAGAAGCCGGAGCTGTTACTCACGCAGTTCATCAAAGTGAGTGTCTATTCCATTACTCCCTGGCACGGAGCAAATAAGCCGAGCTTTCAAGAAGGTAGTCCACTTATTGACCAGGCTCCTGTGACCTCCCAGGTCATTCTGTCGCACAAATTACACGTTGAGAATCAGAAATAAACCTACTTTTTAAAAACAATGAATCCCAGTGAACTAAACCTTTATCACTGCAGACATATGTTTGCAGCGTGCACTATAAGAGAATATGAAAACTAATAATTGTGTGTTTTCTGATCAGTTTAGAACAAATCTTGGATGCAAATACAATCAACAAAATATTGCACTTTTTTTTTGTCCATTATTAAATTAATTATTAAACTAAGAATAAACTGTAAGACTATTTTTTTTATTTTATTTAAGTGATAATTGTGACTCTATCATACTGAAATGATGTCATTCATGCTTCACTTTTAACACAGTTTTTGTAAGCATAAACTTTTATGATTATGTGTGTGTGTGGGGGGGGGGGGGGGACTCAAGGCCGGGTAACTGGAAAACTGGTTATACATAAACTTGTAATGACTTGTGACGATTGGTTAATTTGAGTTTCTTTCCAAAGCTACAGTTGTTCACACCTACCTAATAACGTACATACATACCACGGTGATTGATTTATACATTTGTTGACTTCACACAATAAATTATTGTAAAGTAAATATTTTTGTACTTGTACTTGGTTTAAAACACTGACAGCTCCCTAAACATTTGTCTAAGGAACAGTCAGTGATTTATTTATCGATGTGAAAAATGTACTTCTGCCTGCCTCAACTTCTGTTCAATGACAAATAGCTTTATTTTAAATGGCACACAGAAATATGATTGTTGCCTCACTGGGAAGTGTTTGTCTTCCAGAATACAGCAAAAGGACCCAGAAGAAGAAAGTCTGGACTTGAAATCCGCATTCCACATTTGCTGAGTTATGAATGTAAATTAAAATTTCTACAAGTATGCATAGGCTTAAATTAATACCACAACATGTGAAATGATTGGCTTGTCTAAAGCATAGGACAGCAGATTCCTAACATTCAGGGTAATCAGGCTGTGTTAATGAAGACTTCAGGGTAATCAGGCTGTGTTAATGAAGACATGATGTGCAGTTAAACAAGAAGTCAGGGCTGGGCATGAGATCTGACATTACGGGTAACTGAACGAGCAGGGCCGGCCCAAGGCATAAGCAAACTAAGTGGCTGCTTAGGGCCCCAGAGCCACTAGGGGGCCCCCTAAGTGGTATATTTTTATTGTTATTGATATATTTATATATATATATGCATATATATATATATATTTAGGTAATGGTTTCTATATGATTCTATTTAATATTTTATGTTCAGCTTTTGCAAATTATTGCATACATTTACAGTTTTAAGAACTAATTATTCAGCTTTAAAATCCTTTTTCAAACCATTTTATGTGGTGTCAAGTAATTGTTCAATTACACTATTTAAGTACGTATTTCCTTAATATTTTATTTTTTATTTTATTTTATTTTGTCTGTTTTTGCACAATTTAATTTATTTTATGCATCCAAGTTATTTGATCTGTTGTTTGTTGTTGATCTTGCACAACAAATTACAGTATTTTGAACATTACTGCTGCAGTTCTTTAGAGCCAAAGATAATAAACCAGATGACACTTTTGCTGTAAAATACATTGCACACTGGTGTTTTTATTTTTTATTTTTGTTACTTTTAGTACCACACATATAGGATAATGTAAAAAGGGTTGTCAGAGTTGCATTGAATTTGTTAGGTGAGTGAATGATCTGATCATCTGACTGTTGATTGCAGTAATCCACATTATTAGCAGATCTATAGGACCCCAAACCAAATTTCGCTTAGGGCCCCGTGGAGGCTTGGGCCAGCCCTGTGAACGATGCAGATTCAGAAAATGAACACTTACAAAGAAACATCCAGAGCCGAGTAACAGACCCAGTAAGAAGCAACGCTTAGTATTAGGATAGCAGCACGGCTATTAATGGCATTTTTGTTCCTCGGATTTTAGTGACATATTATGTTTCTCTCAGACTCCTTTTAATGGGAGTGATTGCACCATCCAGAACAAAGTCCATTTTAAACCAGGCTAAAATTAATCACACATTACACACCCCATGAAGGCTGTCATTATGAAAGTCACTCACCTTTTTCATATTAAAGCTATTTTACATAATATTGCCAACAGTGACTTTGTCTGTTTCATATTGTTTGTGCTTCAATGTGTTCCTTGTGAGTGCGTTGGAGTCTGTGTATACGCTCACCTTGCAGAGCTGTCCAATGCGAGCATATGTGGCCTTTCCGGCATGTTCTCCTTCCATTGCATTCTCTCTGAAGAACAGGTAGATTTTGTCATCTTCTGGATTTTCATTTTCTGGGATGAGATGCACGCCCAAAAATCTAGGTTCTGCAAAAATACACAGTGAGATATAGTTGATCGAATTAGCTTAACAATGCACTAATTTACCACTTTTTGCTCATTCTAAATGCTGAAAATGCTGAATATGTGTTAAGTAAGTATGAAAAAGTGTAATACAAAATCCATACCATCACTGAATATTCATAATGGTACAAACTGTGAAACATTAAGTTATAATGTCATTTTTTGCACTCATACATGTACTCGAGGGTATCATAGCGTGTAGGTAATAAACTGAAAGCTGAAAGTCGCTGGAGAATAACGTGCTTCTTGCACTTTGTTTAAACAGCAGTGTTTTGATCCATGCTTTAACCGGCGAGACATTCTTGGCACAAGTATGAATGTGAATTTGTTGTAATAACAAAGCATGAAAAGAAGAGGTCTGTTTAAAGTTTCCATAGCTTTTGTCTAAAACACTTGGTCACATCTTTAGATAGAAACAGCTAAAGTATGAACTTAATCTAAATATTTTAGACATAACCACGTTATTCTTTTACAGAAAAAAAAAATAGATCAAAAAAGTCAAAGTGAACTTTCAAAACCAGCTCAACTAAAAGTCACGACATATTTTACTCTATTGTTGTTGAACTGTAACATTTCATAGACTTCTTTGGTACTTTGCACTTTTGGTAACAGCTGCTGTTTTAAATGTGCTTTATAAATAAATTTGACTCGACTTCTTTAAACCAGCAAAATTAACTATTTATTTGCAGCGACGTCCCACTGTGTTTGCATGTCTTTGAGGAGCTCACGGATTATTTGTGGCCACATTTATCAAAAACAGATTAAACTCAAGGACTGCTATCATATTACACTGACTGTCCTCCTAACCTTACCATTCAGCCACCGGGAGTCATGTTGCTCCGTCCTGATTGGATGATGTGTGCCAAGAGTGCGAAAGATGGCAAAGTCCCGCCCCATGAAGTCAGCTGATGTTCCAGCATAAAGTTCCCCATCTGAGAGGGAGGCGAATAATATGTTAGCATAGGTAGAAATGAAAGATGAGACAGCACCCTTTGGCTTTTGTTTCCCCCCCAAGTGGGCTTAGCAGTACAGGTAGACTTCCAGTCCAGGGAGAACAGGCAGTGACAGATGTAATGAACATCAGGAGTGTGAAATTGGCATTCAAACAGAAGGGAGGTGAGTGAAGGATGAACGAATGGAGGGTCAGATGTGTAGGAACAGAACACAGAAGTGTGAGACAGGGGAGTACATAATAATGCTGTCGAGAAAGAAAGAGGAAAAAGGAGCAGAGATGAGGGGTGATGGGCTAGAAAACGGCCATCTGCTGGGTTAAATGGTATGATGTAACACAAAGTGACTGCTAATAATCAGGGGAAAGAAAACATCATGACCACATCCCTCTGCCAAAAACAGGGGGATGGGAGCGGGGTGTTGACACCAAAGAAAACTCAATAAAGTGTCAATGACCACATGCACGAAGACCATTTAAATGAAAAAACATTCAGATTAAAATAAAGTTTACAGCCCTGTCGATGAGGGGTTCTCAGCATGTAAATACAAAGCAGGTTCACGTATAATGAATGTCAGAACAACCCTGAGCTGTTATTTACATTGACGTCACACCTCATATATCCGCTTCAATGAAAGAGTAAGATGCAGGATGTTTGTAGCCTCCCATGGATTTATTGCACACTAGAGGGTCAGCACGCTGTATCAGTTCCTGAACTCACCAATTAGCATGGAAGCAGTGAGCAGCTTGGGATCATAGGGACTCTTCCCTCTGCCGTTCTCTACATGTGGCTCCAGTCTGAACACACCATCCTGCACACACACAAAAATAAAACGATCAAAGCTTCGGTGTATGGGTGTGCACACGTTTTGTTCAGAAAAATATCTCATGGCAAACAACTGCTTTAGTAACAGGAAGTCACTTTTATAAAATCCAGATTCTGAAAAAGCTGCGTTTATTTGGAGAAACTTTTGTTCAGGTCAAGTTTTACAATATTGCTTAGAAACATGTGACAGTGAAGAAAATGATTGGCATAGTTTATCTTTAACTAAGCTCGCTATATAACTATTCAAAATATTTCTTACATATACAGTGAAAAACGATGTTGCCTTTTAAAATAATTTATCAGCGTGGCATTATGGGAAAGAAAACAGGATAAAAATATTAACTCTGTGACATCATCGCTCAAACAAATGGCATTTCTAGCTTATAACAAGGATTTTCTTAAGGACATTCTTTATCTTTAATGGTCTGAAACAAACCATCTAATGAGGAGAAACTCCTATTTACAAGTCTATATTTAGAGAAATGAGAACAATTGTCTCCTTTTAGCGTCAAATAAGCAGTCATTGACATACATATGCACATATTTAAACTGGATAGATGAATTAAAACATTTTACTTTTCTAACCCATTTTGGCAAATGAAGCATTTCTACAAACTCATTAAATTTGTATTACAAGAAGAATCCACTCAAAATCAATGTGAATTTTGATTTCTCTTAATATATGCACTACTGTGTGTGAAAGCAGGTGAAGACAAAGGAAACGTAGAAAGTGCATCTACCTCTGGTTTTCTGCCCACCTCCAGGTAGGAACAGACAGGGTGGAAGGCTCCGGTACCACAAACATAAAAATGGGTTTGGTTGAACGGCTGCAGCACCTTTATGAAGTTTGCACACTCTCTCTGACGGGGCAAAAAAAAGAAGACGCAAAACAAGATGAAACATATCTGTGGTAAATGTAGTTCAAATTATTTCTGTGATAAATCATGTGGTTGGTGTAATGCAAACTAAATTTGAACTGACAAATTGATAGAAGCAATAAAAAAAAGAAGATTATAGGCTGTCATTCTAATCTCAATTGTTTTACGCCTTTATTGTTTTTTGTAAATTACCAATGCTGTGATGATTTCTTAGACTTTTCTCCTTCAGATGTACAGATAATTATCACATTTGATAAAGATCATTTTGAATGACTTGTAATAATAATGATAATTATTATTAATTTAATTTGTAACGCACTTTTCATTAAGAAAAATCTCAAAATGTCTTGTGTTATCAGAAGGCAGTAGAAAATCCAGATTTTGAGAAATAAAAGTTGTTTTCTTGACAAGATACAAAGTTACATTTCATGTAAAAATGCAGCGATGGTATTTCTTACAATAATTTATAGACGTCATCCAGTAATCTCAAGTAGAGAATTGCGTATTTTCTTAATGCAGAGCCAAGTGGAAAACAGAAAATCACATTTTTTTAAGTTTTTTTTTTATAGTTTCTCACTTAAATAGTTTTCAATTGAATTTATTTTTGTTATTGCGATGGTAATATAGGCTAGCCAAACAGTGATGAGTTCATGTACTGTTATTTTAATGTCTCAGTGTCTTGTCTAGTATGGATGTTTTGTGTGCTACTGACTGTGAAACAAATTGTCCCTTGTGGAAAATAAAGATTATTGAACTTGAACTATATTTAATACTGTATTTTTCTTTCCCACCTCCTTTTAATTTGATTTCCTGTCTAATATACAGCAGACAGACCACCCTGAGCATACTTGATTCACCGATTTCATAATGTTACAGACACACAGGAGTTAGAACGTCAGATTTGTCTCATAGAAGAGCTAAAAACCAAAGGCACTTGTCCTGTAATGGTGAGTTAACAGAGCCACAAAAAGCTACAATTTTACATTCCAGCTTATTGCCTTGGGCTCTTTGGAAGGAAAAATCCATAACAACCCTTGTAGATACAATCTTTCTGTGTGTTTACACAATGTTTAATGAAACCATGCTTTCTGCTGAGACTGCACTTGTCCAAATGGACAGGGTTGTGATGTTTGGCTGGTCGTGAAAGGTTGGACATGTTTGAATCTTAACACCTGAGGATTTCTTTCAGATCCCTCTTCATCTTGACTTGATGAACGTTATTAAACTATGCTCATCCTAAACAAATACACTGCAAAAGTTCTGAATTCATAGATGAAGAAGTGTTTATATTTCAGCCTCATAATTCCGCCTTGACTGAATATAAGATTAATGATCCACTGTGTTGTTTCTAATGTGGACTGAAGGTTTGACAATATTATTAAAAGCATCGGACCCCTATGTAGTCTTCATTTGTGGATCTGTTTCTGCTTCTTTGTTCACTTGAGAGCAAAAAAATTATGCAACATAAATTTAGTCATATTTACTTGTAGCCAAAAATCTGCCAGGTCCCAAAGCAAATTTGTTGGTAATAAATTTTCATTTATAGAAAAGACAAAAATTCCTAGTGAATAATTTTGCAAACTTTTTTTGTTTTTGCTTGTTTTTTAAGGTCAGACAAATTAGTGCACTGACAACTATCAGGCTTTAGTGGCCGGCTGTGGCTGAGTGGTTAGACCAGTCATCCTCCAATGCGAGAGTTGGGGGTTCAAATCCACCAGCAGTCACATGTCGAAGTGTCCCTGGGCAAGACACTGAACCCCTCATAGCCTCTGATGTGTGTCCCATCAGTGTATGAATGTGATCTAAAAGCACTGATTAGTCTCATTAGAATGATTTGTTCAATTATCTTTGTAGAGATCTAGTAGAGTGCTGTATGAATGGATAAATGTGGACACAGATTGTAGTGTAAAGTGCTATGAGTATCTTGAAATAAGATAGAAAGGCACTATATAAGTACAGTCCATTTACCATTTACCACAGTGTATTTGTCTCAGCTGCACCCCAACATTCCCCTCAGCCCAAATTGTAATCATAATGCACTTAAAATGGACTAAAACAGCCTTGATTAAATAATAAAATAAATTTTCTTTGACACCTGCAGGACTCATTGGTCATTGTAAAATAAAAACAAGATATTTTAAAATATCTTAAAGCACAAAAAGGTTCAAATATGGCTCCGTTTGAAAGGTGGATGCATTAAGCTCTTACCGGGACATCTTTTCCTGCCCACTTGCATTCATCTCTTCTGGTGGGAGAAGCTGGCCAAGAGATCTGCAACAAAAGCAGAGTTTCTGTACAAGTTTTTTTTTTTTTTTAAACTTGATCATCAAAAACTTAGAGTAGTTTTTGAAAAGAGTGATTTGGGCCTTTTGCAGATATTTATGTCCCTAACAAAGTTTAAGCCACAGAAGAAGACTATATCTAAGTTATACAAAGGAATCCAGCAAAGTAAACCGGACAGCACTGAAAATATAAAGAAAAGGTGGGAAAAGGAGGGAAATATGATTATCTCATGGAGAGTTGGACCAAAACATGCCAACTACAATGGACAACTACAGGGTCTAACACATGGTGAGAGTTCAATCGGAGGAGCATAATTAGATACTTTATCACTCCCATCCAAAAACTTCATCAAGGTAGTGGAGATGTATGATGGAGACAGTGGGATCAGAAGTGCCAATCACTTCCACCTTTTCTGGGGCTGCCAAACTACTGGGTAGAGATTTGTGAGCACATTAATAATGCATTTGGATCTAAAATTCCCTTCAAATGTGAAACAATGTACTTGGGTGATGTACCTGTGTCTAACTAGAATGTGGGAGATAAAAGATTACTGAATATGTTGCTGGTTGCAAGCAAGGAAGCTATCAGTAGAAAATGGTGGAAAGTGGAGTCCCCTTCCATCGACGACTGGATAAACATAACACATGAAATATTTGTGATGGAAAACCTGTCTTTCTCCCTCAGGACGCAAAACGACATGTTTTACAAGATCTGGACTAAATGGACTGAGTACGTAAAACCATTTCCATCGGATTTCCTTTAAGAACGCAATCCAAGACTCCAAACTTTGTCTTGTGAACGATGGCTTGTGAACCATGGCTTGCTTCCTACGGTTGTTGTGTGTTGATATTTGTTCGATTGTATATTCTGAAAATGTTGGGAAAAAAAATTAAATTAAAAAAGTGAATTTATCATTTTAAAAAAAACTTGAATTGGAATTTATACAAAAATAATTAGAAAAATTGTCTGCTTTATGGCTGTCAGTTGATGGAGCTACAGCTTGTATGCTTGGGTGTTTTTTTTTTTTGTTTGTTTTGTTGTTGCTGAAAGGGTCACGGTGTGAGTTGTTCTCCACTTTGTTCCAGTTTACTACAAAATTTGCTCAGGTGTAAAGAGTGCAGCTAAGATGCTTGGAACAGGGTACGACTGTGTGCGACGGCCCTGGTCTAAAATATACATGAAGCACTTCGCTTGAGACGCAGAAAACAGAATCCCATGATGCTCCAGGCTGGTGTTCTAGCTGAAGATGAACGACAGTGTAAGTCAGTCAGAAATGCAAACAGACCTAAAGTCATAAATTAATAAAACTATCAAGCACACAGACAGCAAGATAGAGGCTTTACCCTTGCTTTGTCTTTGCTGATGTTGAGCAGGTTGAAGGAGAAAATGTGATCCTTGGCTCCCACCAGCAATCTTCCTTTCTCCTCATCCAGCAAGAACGTGTGGTAAGCTGAACTGTTCGTGATGCCCTCAAACGTCACTAGATTGTTAGACTCCAACATCTCTGCAGAGGAAATAAAAATCAAAGAAAATAAGTAATCAGAATGCCCAAAGTTATCAAAACAGCAGGCTCAAGAGAGGACATGAAAGTCTAAATCATCCATCTATTCACTACACCCGCTACGTCCTGTTCAGGGTTGTAAGGGGGTCGGTGTCCATGTCCAGCAGTCATTGGGTGAGAGGTGGGGTAATGGCAATTCATCACATTTCCACAATCATCCATGTCCAACAGTCACATAAGATCAATTTAGAGTTTTTTTCACTTGTCACCCTAACATTCAATATTTTGGAATGTGGGAGTAACCTGGAGAAACCCCAAACGTGCATGAGGAGAATATGCAGATGTTTTACAAAAGGCTAGACGTGAAAACAGAAGTCCCTTTTCCTTCATAGCATCAGCATTAACCAACTGTGCCACCATTCAGCCTTGTTACTTCTTATAACAAATTGTTTTAACAAATGTAAGGTTGGCCAAGCTAATGGCTAGAAAAGGGCTCCCTTAAGCTTAAGTGGAACTGACAGGTATAGCAAACACAGCAAGCCAAAAACAAGACTGTTTATATACCGAAGAGACTTTCATCAGGGCTGCCAAGCAGAACTTAAAATACTCACAGTGGAAATCTGTGCTCAGGATACAGTGTTTTATTATTTTGCTACTACTTCATAGTTTAAACAGTAACTTTACACTAAAATACAATTCTTAGGTCACTTTGCAACACTTTCTTTCCCTTTATTATTTTACTTAACACAGATCTTTGCCAAATCAACAAAGTAAAAGCAATAGCTTTCAAGCAGACACCCGGTGTTGTGAAATATATTACAACTCTAATTACCATCATGACATGAAAAGGTGAGATTCTGACCATTGTTTCCAAAGACCTTTTTTTATAACATGTCAGGCTTTTCAAAGATAATACTGTACATGCTCAATCTCTCTTTTGTTGCATATTTCCTTCAACCCATAAAAATCTCCACACTCCAGCCGTTTCAACTGAATCAAAACTAGAAGGTCATAAAGGTCAAGTCTATGAATGGCACACACTGAAACACATTGACAAACACTGAAGTTGTTCTCTATCTGCTGTAGTACAAGTGTTGAGTATTGAATTTCATAGATTATTATTTTGTTTCCTTGTAAATGTGTGAAAACCACTAACATAAGCAAAGCAATGTCAAAGTGCAGAGAGTTATAGAACATGAGTTATAGAACATGAAGGAGATGTTTTCTTTGGTCTATTCTGTTTTTATCTGCCTATCGCTCGTGAAAAAAAGAAAGCACATGAATGTTTTAGCAGAGAGGATGACCCCTGAAGTGTGTCAGAGCCCAAGAGAGAAAAGTTGATGAAAACTAGAATAACAGATAAGAACATCGGGGAAGAGAGGGCATCTTGCAGACTGCTTTTACTCATTTATAAGCTTGTTTGTTTTAATGAGCATAGCTGGGTAACCACATAATGTCATTCGATAAAACATTAGTAAACCGAAAAAAGTTTCAACACGCCTTTTGTGTTTTGTTTTTTTTTTCCTGTTCCTTTAGAAGTTACATGAGAGGAGAGAAAAAATGTGAGAATTAAAATAGAAGGGTTTATGCAGTAATTTCCAGAAACATTGTAGTTTGTCCGAACAGGTACAATATACAAACGTATTTTTGCAGTTTACATAATGAATCAGAATTTGACCGATAAATTTATGTAAAATAAATGTTTCAGACTGATGTGTTGCAAAGGCTGCAACCACACTTTTCAGGAAGTGTTCTGTAAACTTCTTATCGGGCCAGAGCAACTTTGAATGTAGGTCTTCAAATGCGATGATTAGGTGCTAACACAGCATTTCTACTAGACTGCAGTCAGGACATGGACTTGTTTAATCTAAATCTGTCTATGAGCAAATTTGACATATTCTTGTATCCATACAAGCCATTCATTTTTAATGTTCTCATATAGAGGATTTCATAAAGACCAGCAAAAACACTTTGAAAGTAGCTTTTATAAAAGCGTTGTTGGTCCTTGTATGGACAAAAAATGATTTGATTTATTGGAGACACAGAGAAGAACATTCAGTTTTCAATTTAGTTTATTTATATAGCACCAAGTCACAACAGAAGTCATCTCAGGGCATTGAACAGCAACATTTATATACCGGGTATATTAAAAAAAAGACAATTAGTTCTTTATCTAAGGAAGCCAGCAGATTGCAATGAATCTTCACTTCATCACAGTCTCCCATCCTGAGCAAGCACAAAGGCAACAGTGGAAAGCAAAAACTCCCTTTTAACAGGAAAAACTCTCCAGCAGAACCAGGCTCAGGACGAGCGGCCATCTGCTTCAACCTGATGGGGTTTGAGAGGAACAGGAAGGAGGAACAAACACGGAATGACAGGTCCAGGTGTACTTTCGATTGGAAGAAGACAAGAAGCACATGAGATAAAAATAACAAATTACCAGGTAGAGTAGAGCATTTAAAGACAGCAGCAGAGTGAGGAAATGTGGTCCATTCGTCCTCCAGCATTCCAAGTGCTTTATCACATTCATACACTGATACACACATTGGAGGCAATGAGGGGTTCAGTGTCTTGCCCAGGGAAACTTCGTCATGTGACTGCTGGTGGATTCGAACCCCCAACTCTTGCATTGGAGGACGACTGCTCTAACCACTCAGCCACAGACGCCCAGACAAAACAAAACAAAAGACATAATGGTCAACGTGCAAATATACTTTGTGTTTGATAACAGTTTTAATTAGAACACCATTACTAAGTTTTTATTTCACCCTTTTTTAAACTGCGATATATTAACATTTGATTTTTATTAAGCATACATACTACAGTTGTCCATGACTCATCCTGGGCTTTCTCTTTTGCTCTCACAAATGATGGATGGACATCCAGGGAGTCTGTAACAACATTTCATGCTACATCCACCTGACTGGAAGATGAAAGGCCACATTCTACAAGTTTACTGGATGTTTGAACACACATGATCTGGCAGTGAACTCCAGAAAACAGTTTTTGGAAAAAACTTAAGAAGACCAGAAGGCACAATTGTGGCCAGAATAGTAAACTCTAGAAAAACTGGTAGAGCAAAATGATCTCTGCTCTGCAGTAACAAGAACAAACTGAACCATGACTTCAAAACAGGCACATATCAGACTGTGGTTTCTGTGACTGTTACACCCCTGATAGACAAATAAAGTCTGTTTTAATGCTGCAGGGTGTGCCAGTGTTATTTCATGTGCAATTTATTCCCAACGATTTTCCATTCTGATATTTCTCATTTGTTTTCAAGTTTTTTTTATTTTATTTTATCCAGTGTTCATACATTCACTTCATTAAACTGTCTCGGTTAGTTTCCAGACTATATTTTGTAGTGTACCGACAAAAACACATTGTAGAGACTAAAAGATGATCAGTGGCACTGAAGGATTTTGAAAATGTTTTAATCAAAATGTAAGCAAAAACTGGGTTTTTAACTTTTCATTTTCTCTGCGTTTATGTATTTATCTGTAAATGTGTTTTCAAAGTCAAAGTCATAGGTCAAAGTTTCTTTATTTGTCATTTGAACCACATGTAGTATGTGTGGTGGAATGAAACTGTGTACACAGGGTCCCAGTTACATCCAATAAAAGTATAAATTCTGAAGAAAAACAGTAATAAGATCTAAGATGTGAACTAAGAAAAGCGTTAAACTAAGAATATGCTAAGCTCAAATATGAGTCTGTGGGAGCAGATGAGTATGAATGAACACAGCAACATGAAATAAAACAGCAACATGAGATCAGCAACATGATCAGCAGCACATATCAACAATCGAGTGGCATTACATTGATTTTTTTTTTTTTTTCTTCACAGTGATAATCCTGATTAGGGATTCATGAGTCTAACAGCTTCAGGGTAGAAACTGTTCCTCAGTCTAGTGGTTCTGCACTTAATGCTCCTCAACCTTTTGCCTGAGGGGAGTGGGGCAAAAAGTGTGTGCTGGGTGAGTGGGGTCCTTCATGATGCATGTGGCCCTCTTCCTGCATCTAGAGGTGTAGATGTCTGTGATGGTGGGGAGGCTGACTCCAACAGACTTCTGTGCAGCCTTCACCACTCTCTGCAAAGCTTTTCTTTCTGCAGCTGTGCAGCCTCCATGCCACACGTTGATGCTGGAGCACAGGATGCTCTCCACTGCACACCTGTAGAAGGAGAAGAGGACTGAACTTCCCAGACCAGCTCGCCTCAGCCGCCTGAGGAAGTAGAGTCTCTGATGATCTTTCTTGATCAGGCGTTGTTGCCCCAGCTGGGGTTGTCATTCAAGTGCACACCCAAGTACTTGTAGCTGGAGACCACTTCCACCGCAGATCCTTCTATGTTCAGAGGTGGGGGTAGGTGTGTTTGTTCCATCTTTCAGTTCCCTTAACTACATTTGCTGTTGTTTAATTAAAATGTATTTGATTGTATATAAATGTGGGGCTGTAATATGAGTTTGGGGGAGTTTCTGGTTTGTAAAAGAAAAAACAGAAGCATTTTTAAATAAAATGGCCTATCTAATAATGTTGTATTTATTTTTTTTAAAGGTTAAAAATAAAACTCATAACCCATTTTTTTAAATAAAATTTAGGAAAATGTTACCTGTGAGAAAACTGCATACAGTAAACAGCACCTCACTTACCCATGAATCACAGAATAGCCCAGACAGAATAACCAGAAACACCACAATCAGCCTTAATACACAAAGATGCACATGGGACTGGTGTCCATGGCAACAAACCATTCAACAGAGACTATAGCTAAGTTATTAAAAGCTAATCACCCAGAGATGCATGCACTCTGGGCTTTATGTGTGTTGTGTGTTATTGGAAAAGAGGGATGTTTCCAAATCCCAACAGAGGTAGCAGCCTTTACATGTCTGAACCAGCCTCCCCTCTGGATAACTAACTGGTGGGTGTTCATGCATACAAGCATAATATTTTATATGGCTTTAAAATGTGCACTAATCAACATCTGAACATTTTAAAGTAGCACAA